TACATAGATAGATAGAAGAAGATAGATATTGATAACATTGGTTCCCAATCTTTTACAAAGTTGTTCACTGATTTCTCTTTAATCAGTGTTGACAATAAATCCATCTCAGCCAATTAAAGGATTCTTACTATCTAGTCCTGTCTTGTTGAAAGATCAGTATTTTTCTATTTTTGAACATAAAGCTATCTTGATGCTAAAATTATGTGATGTTACACTCTATAGTGCAACCTTTTAATTTGAGCATTTTCAAGTTACAGTAGGAATTATTCTGGATTCAGGTAGATTGATTCTCATTCTAAAGGTATCTTGATTCCATATCTGAATCATTTATTTATTTTATTTACTGTATGTGTATCCCACCTTCTCACCTTGAAAGGGGATCAGAGCGGCCTTAAAATTGGCAACAATTCGATGCCATATCAACAGACAGTAGAAAATAAACATATACATTAAAGCAAATAAATTAAAAAGCAATATAAACATTAAAATTGAGCAATTTGAGGACATAGTCAAAGGCTGTTCCGGTCATTATTGCACATAATTCCACTTCACTTTTTGCATTGTACTATTGGCCAAATACTCTCACCCAACCTTTTTAACTTGTATGCAGAACACATCATGCGATGTGCGGGGCTGGATGAATGCAAAGCTGGGGTGAAAATTGCTGGAAGAAACATTAACAACCTCAGATATGCAGATGATACCACTCTGATGGCTGAAAGCGAGGAGGAGCTGAGGAGCCTTCTAATCAAGGTGAAAGAAGAAAGCCAAAAGCTGGGTTGCAGTTAAACAAAAAAACCAAGATTATGGCAACAAGAATGATTGACAACGGGAAAATAGAGGGAGAAACCGTGGAGGCCGTGACAGACTTTGTATTTCTAGGTGCAAAGATTACTGCAGATGCAGACTGTAGCCAGGAAATCAGAAGACGCTTACTTCTTGGGAGGAGAGCAATGTCCAGTCTCGATAAAATAGTGAAGAGTAGAGACATCAGACTGGCAACGAAGATCCGCCTAGTCAAAGCCATGGTATTCCCTGTAGTAACCTACGGATGTGAGAGCTGTACCTTAGGGAAGGCTGAGCGAAGGAAGATCGATGCTTTTGAGCTGTGGTGTTGGAGGAAAGTGCTGAGAGTGCCTTGGACTGCGAGAAGATCCAACCAGTCCATCCTCCAGGAAATAAAGCCCGACTGCTCACTGGAGGGAAAGATACTAGAGACAAAGTTGAAGTACTTTGGCCACATCATGAGGAGACAGGAAAGTCTAGAGAAGACAATTATGCTGGGGAAAGTGGAAGGCAAAAGGAAGAGGGGCCGACCAAGGGCAAGATGGATGGATGGCATCCTTGAAGTGACTGGACTGACCTTGAGGGAGCTGGGGGTGGTAACGGCCGACAGGGGGCTCTGGCGTAGGCTGGTCCATGAGGTCACGAAGAGTCGGAGACGACTGAACGAATGAACAACAACATTGGCCAAAAGCTTGGTTCCAGAGCCATGTTTTTACTGTACTGTTGGAGGCTTTCATTTATTTATTTATTTGCTTTATTTTTATACCGCATTTTTCAGCCTAATTCGGCGACTCAATGCGGTTTTCGGCGACTAAATGCGGCTTTCATGGCTCAAATCACTGGGTTGTTGTAGGTTTTTTCGGGCTATATGGCCAAGTTCTAGAGGCATTCTCTCCTGACGTTTCACTTGCATCTATGGCAAGCATCCACAGAGGTTGTGAGGTCCTCTCCCCACATTTCCCCTCATTCATAAGAGTCTGTGTAAATATTTGCACTGCAGCCTGGAGGGGTTCAGTCCTCCAGGCAGTAGTGCAAATATTTACACAACCTCTGAGGATGTTGTGAGGACCTCACAACCTCTGTGGATGCTTGCCATAGATGCAGGCGAAACATCAGGAGAGAATGCCTCTAGAACATGGCCATATAGACCGAAAAAACCTACAACAACCTATGTTTTTACTTTCTTTTTGAAGGTCAGTGGGTAGAGGGCTGACCTGATTTCGCAGGGGAGGAAGTTCCATAGGTGAGAGGCCACCACTGAGAAGACCCTGTCTCTCATCCCCACCAACCGCATCTGTGGAGGAGGTGGGACTGAGAGCAAGGCCTCCCTGGATTATTTTAACTCCCGAGATAGTTCATAGAGGGAGATACATTTGGACAGGTAAGCTAGGCCAGAACTGTTTAGGTCTTTATAAGCTAAAGCCAGCACTTTGAATTGTTCTCAGTAGCAGATGGGTAGCCAGTGGTGCTGACATAACAAGGGAGTTGTATGCTCCTTCTACACTGCTCTGGTGAGAAATCTGGCTGCCGCCCGTTGGACTACTTGAAGCTTCTGAACAGTCTTGGAAGGCAACCCCACATAGAGCGCATTGCAGTAGTCTATTCGGGATGTAACAAGAGTGTGGACCACTGTGGCCAAGTCTGGCTTCTCAAGGTACAGGTGCAACTGGTGCACAAGTTTTAATTGTGCAAAAGCTCCCCTGGCCACCACCAAAACCAATACTTCTTCATCCATTTTGTAGTCCCACCACAGAATTGGTAGAATTTAAAAGCATTCCATTTACATAGTTTGAAGCAACTCAATCACTATATTCCTGATGACTTATTTCTCCTAAGGATTGTGAGAGACTTAGATAGGCCTCAAATAATGAATCTTTTGCAAATGAAGGACTTTTGAATATACTGTGGCTAATGACAACCAAGAAGTTAACCCTTAAGATTGCTTACAAAAGGTTTGCTTGAACTCAAAACATACATGCCCATGGCATAAAACAGATAACTGCCAGTGGAGAGAGTAAGACAGAAAGCAGCTGGAAATAACTCCCTCTCATTTTAGTAAGGTACAGAATAATCTTTTGTGTTCAGCTTTCAAGGACTCAGTATTCAGATTCACAGGGATTTGTCAACATAAGTCCTGAAGAGCTGTGATCACTTAACTTACTAGACTGATATGTGTGTGTCTTCAAGTCACCTATCAAGAGTTCGCTATCATCTTGCTTCATTGTGAGGGAGAAGCAGTGTTTCAACAGTTGCATCAAAAATTTCAAGTACACTTGTTCACAGAATGATTTTGGTGCATCTGTTTAAACATTGCTCATTCAGGTAAAAAAAGTATTACATACTAGCCATCCCCTGTCACATGTTGCTGTGGCCCAGTCTGTTTTGTGTATATGTGTGTGTATATGTGTATATATGTGGTTTTGCACGTGCGTTGTAATGCATTTTTTGTTTTTTGGCTTTTTAAGTCTCTTCTGTTGTGTTTTTCAGTGTTTTTATGAGTGATGGTCACTTGTTGGCCTGATAGGTGTATTGTGTCCAAATTTGGTGTCAATTTGTCCAGTGGTCTTTGAGTTATGTTAATCCCACAAACGAACATTACATTTTTATTTATGTAGATTAGCCGTCCCCTGCCATGCATTGCTGTGGCCCAGTCTGGTTATCTGGAAAATGAAGTAATGAGAAAGTGTTGGTTTCTAATATATGTGATTTCTTTACGCTCTTTGATTGTAGGTTAACTATAAATCTTAGCAACTACAACTCCCAAATGACAAAATCAATTTTTGAGTGATGGTCGTTTGTTGGCCTGATAGGTGTCTTGTGTCCAAATTTGGTGTCAATTTGTCCAGTGGTTTTTGAGTTATGCTAATCCCACAATCAAACATTACATTTTTATTTATCTAGATAGGTAGATGGGCTTTTGTTGTTATTGTTCTATGAGAAGAATCCTGTTTGTGAAGTTTTGACAAGTGACAGCCTCTCTGAAAGGACTATCCCAAGCAGGGAAAGTCTGACATGGATTCGTGGTGGTTTATCTGTTTCATTCTCGTAAATGCTCACAGGCAGATGTTTTTTAATCTGTAAGTATGTGTGTGTATACTTTGGCCTTTCTATCCTGAGTAAATAAAATGCAGCAATAAGCATATCTAGGACAGAGATTTAGGGTTGATCAGGGAAATAGCTTTTACTAGCACTTCTCATTTATAAATGTCTTGTTTCCTTAAGATAAGGTTTGGGGTAGGATGTTCGTTCTTCAACAGACAACAAGGTGCTTTGACTGAACAGTTGTTGTTACCACATACACAATTTAGCGGGGTGGATGGCTTCCAAAATAAGAGTTTTGTGGCACTGTAAAGCTTATATGTTGAATGTTTTTAATTGTATTTTATGTTGTTGGGGGCATAGCATTGTGCCGACTGTGAACCGCCTTGAGTCGCCTTCAGGTTGAGAAAGGCAGTATATAAATATGGTAAATAAATAAATAAGCATGTACAATTCAATCACTTCCATGAATTAGTCAATTTAAGTTAGAAATGTATACATGCCATGAGTACAGAGAGGATGTGAAGAGGGCTATGTCAGCATGGACAGAAGCTGTCTGGAAAGTTGGTTTCCAAAGTGATTTTTATCTACAGGGTTGGGGCGAGGGGTTGATTTAGTGATTTGGAATTTTTAGTTGCTGGGATTTATAGTTCACCTACAATCAAAGAGCATTCTGAACATTATGAACCAAACTTAGCACACAGAACTTCCATGTCCCACAGAAAATACGTGAAGGGTTTGGTGGGCATTGACCTTGAGTTTGGGAGTTGTACTTCACCTATATCCTGAAAGCACTGTGGACTCAAACAATGATGGATCTGGACCAAACGTGGCACGAATACTCAATATTCCCAAATGTGAACACTGGTTGAGTTTTGAGAAAACAGACCTTGACATTTGGGAGTTGTAGTTGCTGGGATTTATAGTTCACCTGCAATCGAAGAGCATTCTGAATCCCACCAGTGATAGAATTGGGTCAAGCTTCCCACACAGAACCCCCATGACCAACAGAAAATACTTTGTTTTCTGGTGGTCTTTGGCGACCCTTCTAACGTCCCTTCGCAACCCCCACAGGGGTCCCGACCCCCAGGTTGAGAAATACTGCTCTAGAACATAGTCATATAACCCGAAAAAACCTACAACAACCCTATTATTGGTATTCTTTTATCTTCCAGTATATTGGCAGCCTGGATGTACCCAGACCAAACAACAGGGTGGAGATTGTGAGTGCTATGAGACGCATCCGGGTAAGTGGTGGCATCATTTTGATTCCAGCTTCTTCTGCATCTGTCACAAAATTCGTGAGGCTTGCTTCATGCTTACTTAGATGGTGTGAACATAAGCAAATGTGTATCTTTCTAGCCCTTGGATAAGTCCAAGAAATTGTGTTACTGTACCCTTAATATGTTGCATCTCATAGAAGCTGGAGAATCTGATTTTAGAGGCAAACAAGTTGGTAGCCTTCAGAAATCTGGTAACGGTTGAAAAATCAAGATAAGCCAGGTCCTTCAGCAAAATGTAGGGCTCATCTACACTGATCACTTAGCTCACTGTGTGATTGGATCAGACCCAAAGTGGTTATAGGGCTGATCTCGCTTAACCTGGAGCAAGACCGTCTCAGTGTGACCTTGCCCAGGGTTAAGCTAACTTAGGAGAAAACTCGAATCCTAACCCAAGATTTGGATTCTCTCCAAGTTAACAGTTGTCAAGACAGCTGGGTTCCTAACCAGAAGCAGTAGCAGATGTCTTGACTGCTATCCTGCGTTTCCTCGATTCAGGCAGCTCAGGGACATCATCAGCACTGCACTTTCGTCCCATGCCCTAGTTCATGGGTCCTCAAACTAAGGCCCGGGGGCCAGATACAGCCCTCCAAGGTCATTTACCCAGCCCTCGCTCAGGGCCAACCTAAGTCTGAAACAACTTGAAAGCACACAACAACAACAACAACAACAACAACAACAACCCTATCTCATCAGCCAAAAGCAGGTCCATTCTTCTCATTGAAATACTAATAAGTTTATATTTGTTAAAATTGTTCTTCATTTTAATTATTATATTGTTTTTGCACTACAAATAAGATATGTGCAGTGTGTATAGGAATCCATTCATGTTTTTTTCAAATTATAATCCGGCCCTCCAGCAGTTTGAAAGACTGTAACCTGGCCCTCTGTTTAAAAAGTTTAAGGACCCCTGCCCTAGTTCATTAGCTACAACTTGCTCTATCTATTCTCTTGTTTCTGTTTTCAGTTGGCTAGGTTTTAAGTCAGTTCTCATCATAGGTTATCGGGTGCTGTTTTGAGCATAAATTATTGTTTTATATGCTATTGGTTTTATATTGTGTTGTGTGTTTATTTTATGCACTGTTTTAGGCACATTGTACCATATGTAAGCTGTCCCGATTCCCTTCAGGGAGATGGAGGCAGAGTACAAAAATAAAGTTGTTGTTATTATCATCATCGTCGCCATTTTATTTCTTATGTGCATCTCCTTGTGGCAGGTTACAACATAGCAAAAACACATAAACATTATTAAAATACATATATTTAAATGTTTTTCTGTGAAATACATACCCATGTTTGCTCAAGTAAAGTGTGCCATCAAATCTGATGCTCACTTCAGTTTCGCAGACCCTGAAAATAAAAAAGCATTTATTAGCTACTGTAATGCACAGTGTCAAAAAAGTGCACTCTTTGTCATTTGGGCAAAAAAAGGTGTGCATTCCAGTTGCTACCTGCTTAGGATTCCCTCTTCAAAAGCAAAAGTGTTAGAACACCAAAGCTTTCAACAATGGAAAGGAAAATCTTGGGATACTGTAAAATGAATGCACTTAAACTGCTTTGGTTTAGTGCTATGGAATCATTAGGGGAGGGGGTGTAGTTTGACAAGTCCTTGAACTTTCTCTGCCAAAGAAGGCTGATGCCTCACCAAACTACATTCCAGGATGCCATAGCATTAAGCCATGGCCATTAAATTAGAGAAGATGTCCCTCAAAAAGGAGCTCCAGGTGCAGCTCTTGAAACAACTTCCCCTTGGCTTTGGCTCAGCACTAAGATTATTGCATGACATGAAACTAATATGCACCCTAATTTTGGAGAGGTAATTTTGTCAAAAAAGATGAGTGTTAGGTGTGAATAAATACAGTATATTAAAAGGCACAAAACAAAAATTAAAATAGTGAACACAAGATGTAAGTTAAATTCATAGTTAAAACTGGCTGGGTAGGCCTGCCAGTAGAAATAGGTATTTAGATGGTTTTAAAATTCCAACAGCTCATTTAATTGTTGGAGCTGTTCTGGCAGGTCGTTCCACAGTCTTGGGGCGGCCGATGAAAAGGTCCTCTGGGTAACGATTGCCCGTTGGGTTTTGGTGGGCTGGAGTAGACGCCACCAGGGAACCTCATTGTTTGGGGCAGATTATACAGGAGAAGGCAGTTCTGTAGGTAACCTGGACCCAAACCATGTAGGGCTTTAAAGGTGAAATTTATTTATTTATTTGGAAAATCCTTTCTTCCTCTGAACTAAAGAGGTCTTTGCTACTCCAGTATTATCTTCAAAAGAGCCTTTTTATTTCATGTCACTAAAACAGTTGATGTAGCTCTTAATGAGACATGCCGCATTATCACGGAGTGTCTGTCCCCTACACCACTGGAGAAATTACACTGCTTAGCCGGTATTGCACCACCTGACATCCGCTGGGAAGTAGCAGCCAATAGTGAAAGGACCAAGGCAGCGACATCTCCAGCTCATCCCCTGTTTGGGTATCAGCCATCACATCAACGACTTAAATCTAGGCATAGTTTTCTTAGATCTACAGAGACACTCGCTGGAACACCTCAGCAAGCGAGAGTCCAAAAGTGGCAGGCTCAAACCCAGAACCTCAACCAATGGCTGATACCAAATGAGAGACTCCCCCCTGGGCACACAGAAAACTGGGCGACTTGGAAGGGCGCTGAACAGACTGCGCTCTGGCACCACGAGATGCAGAGCCAACCTTCAGAAATGGGGCTACAAAGTGGAATCCTCGACATGCGAGTGTGGAGAAGAGCAAACCACTGACCACCTGCTGCAATGCAACCTGAGCCCTGCCACATGCACAATGGAGGACCTCCTTGCGACAACATCAGAAGTACTTCAAGTGGCCAGATACTGGTCAAAGGACATTTAATCAACTACCAAACTCACAAATTTTGTATTTTGACTGTTTGTTTGCTTTGTTCTGTTAGAAATGTAATATAATTTGACTGGTTGTCCTGACATGACGAAAAAAAAAAAAAGCTACGTCACTGCACCCAAAATTACTCTTGATAGTAGAGCTCTGAGTTGTGATTCAGAATCTTCTATGGAGAGAAACCTATGGGAGGAAGCAATTTCAGTTTCAAGCTTCTGCTCATCATAGTAGAAGCTTCAACAATTTCCCTGATGCTTAATTTTGTTAGAATCTCCTTCCACTGTCTGAAAACTTCAGTTTTGAATACAATATTAGAAGTGCACACACAGTTGCATTTGGAGTAGAACCAGCAGTGCTTAGTCATTACTTTTTCATTTCATATTTTAATTTCCTTCCTGGAAATTAAGCCCCGTTGGCCTGTTGTTTGTCTGTTCAGATAAGCACCAGCGCTATCCACCCTCCTTCCACTCCCTCATTCCTAGTCAGTCCTATACAAATGAAGGTAATTAGAATTCCTCAGATTCCTGTCATGATCTATTGCTCGGAATCCCATCTTGTAGAAGTACACAAAGAGGAAAGAAGCCGGTTATAAGCAGTATTGTCAGAATCCTTAGCCTTTTCTGGAACTTACAACCATAGGGTGTGAAGGTCTAAAGCAGGTTATTATGTGATAATAGAAAATACAAAGCCGTTAAACACACTCAGGGAATCCTATACATTATCATCAGTCCAATCCACGCTGGTATCACAAGCTGGGAAACAGTAGAAATGTTGAGAGAATGTTCTTCAATTTCCACTTAAGGCGAAAAAAAGATGTACTTAAATTATTAATTTATAAACATTTACAATAAAAAATTGAACTAGAATAATATTAATACTACTAATTATATTTTTTACCTGCCGCTCCTCGTGATGCGTTAGAAATCAGCTAAAAACACATAATCATAAACATTATATAATATATACATGTTAAAATGGATTTCTACAAAATATGTATCATATTTACTCAAATCTAATGCTCATGTTTTTTGGCTAAACGACCTCTCCAAAATTAGGGGGCACATTGAATTCGCTTCAAACAGTAATCTCTCTCTCTATATATATAAATTATTTGGGGTAAAGGGGAAAGGAAAGGGATAAAAAATATTTATATATATGCATGTAAAGGGGTGGAACAATAATATCAATGTACAATGTACATATACAGGCAAACATTCAATGGCATAGACACACAACATATATAGACAGACACTCAGAGACTATTTAACATTCCAACTTTTTCTTGCCACCAGGGGAACTGTCGCTTCACCGTCCATCTGCGACACTGATGAAGTACTTCCTCATTCCCCGCATGCTTTTGCTGGAGATTTTTATGACCTCGTAAATTAGTTAACTTAGCCTCCCCACATAAGTGATACCTAAATTTCCTACTTGACAGATGCAACTGTCTTTTGGGTTGCAAAGGTCGACAACAAGCTACATAATTTGACCGGAAGCTCACTCCAAACCAGGCTGGCTTCGAACACATGACCTTTCAGTCAGTGGTAATCTTAATGCAGCTGACTCCCAGCCAGCTGCACCACAGTCCCGGTGGTAGAGCTCCTAAAAAAAAGAAAAAGAAAAGAAAACTGTGACTTCCGTCTAATCCTTAGTGGTCTCAAGCTAGTTCATTACTGATAGTTCTATATAAAAAAGAGAAAAATATTTTTGACTTAGTCTATTTTTCTAATAATTCCCTTTAGTGAGGTTTCTTATGGTAAGTTTTTAAACAGTAATCTTAGTGCTGAGCCAAAACCAAAGGTTTTGAGCTGGACCTGGAGCACCTTTTTGAGGGGCATCTTCTGTAATTTAATGACCAGGACTCAATGCTATACCATCCTGGGATTTGTAGTTTCATAGAATAATAGAATCCTTAAGTTGGAAGAGACCTCGTGGGCCATCCAGTCCAACCCCCTGCCAAGAAGCAGGAAAATCGCATTCAAAGTACCAAAGTTTGGTGAGGCATCAGTGTTCTTTGGCAGAGAAGGCTCAATGTCTTGTCAAACTACAGACCCCATGATTCATTCTACAGCAGTGGTTC